TGAGCAGCGAAGGGGATTGTTGACTTTTGATAACAATTCAAATGATTCTGATATTACACCAGTAATGAACTACAGAATGTGTTACTCAGCAAAGTGCTGCTTTCAGCAGAGCCATTCGAAGTGACCAAGCCCTCCAGGGCACAAAAAATTGCTATAGCAGGACTCACAGCTCTAGTTCAGTTGAAAACAATCAAGAGCAACCTAGGATTTACTGCCTCTCCTGGAGAGCAATTGCCCATTGTTCATTATGCACATGCAATAAACCAACATCAGTATTTAATTTAGCCCTCTTCACCAAGTTTTCCTAGGGAGGGTAACTCCATTGTAGAAAAGGCTGCTTGGCTAGCCAACCCTAGACAAAAGTCAGCCATGAAGACAAGTTTGGCTTTGGTGGAATTGTTTGAAAGGAGTCAAAGCTGAGGGTTTCCAAATTAAATTAGCCTCATTTAGGATTAGATTTATTTTCATACCATGCCTAACAGCAAAGTGTTGGTCTGATCAAAGACAGCATTTTTTAAATCAAAAGAAGCACAAGTAGGCACACAGAAGGGCTGGGAAAACAGGATGAGAAGGGAAAAGATTCCACTGCTTTGAAAAAGATGGGAATACATCCACTTCCCTTACTCCTACTTTAGAAAGTCTTGTACCAGATAGAGGCCAAGTTCATAGGCCCCTGAGTGATAGCTTTCTTAATAATGTTTTAAGAAACCATCACTGGCTTTACCCAAGACATTACAATGTGCATCGTGATTCATAAACAGTGCTGGCTGGATTTATATACCACACTGAGTTAAAAACACACAAACCACAGTTTAGCATGGCATACTGTATAAACCAGCCAGTAAGAAATCTCCAATTCACAGCTATACTTATATCTAACCATGGACACTTTTTAACAGCAGTCTAAAGAGTCACGACACAAAGGGATTGTGTTCTTCCTAGAAGATATTGTGTTTATATGAAAGAGACACAAAAAGTATATGTGTGTGTTTGTAAGATATATTGAGTCCACCTATCATGCTACATCATAATGCAAGTTTATTCACCTTGGCATATGGTGTTACATGAATCTAATCACTATAGTGCCTAACTACTTATCATATCATATGAATTCATATAATTATAATGGTTTAAGCAAACAGCTTTACAAATCACAGATGCATGAAATCAGTACCTGTAAGCCAGGGGTGTCAAACTCAAGGCTCGGGTCCAGCCTTGAGCCCGCTGAATGTGTAGATCTGGCCTGCGGGGCTGCCCTGGAAACAGCCAAGGACTAGCCTGTGGTGCCTCTGCCAGTGAAAACGGAGCTCGGGAGGGCCGCACATGGCCCTCTTGAGCTCCCTTTTCACTGGCAGAGGGTTGTAGGCGGCTTTTGCAGCCAAAAATAGAGCTTGGGAGCCTGTTTTCTCTGGTAGAGTGTCAGGAGCACCACCACAGGCGCCCCTGACATGAGTGATGTCGAGCTGGCCACGCCCACCTTGGCCACGCCCACCCCACCCCTCTGAGATCAAACACAACCCCGATGCGGCTCTCAATGAAATTGAGTTTGACACCCCTGATGTAAGCTAACACATTGCTGTTGTGTTGGTTCTATCATTATTTGTTTCTGCTTAATATAACTTTTTTGAGGAGATGAACAAATCTATTGCTCCTCAGGACTCTGCCCAGGGAGAAATTGGGTATCAGCATCAGTTCAGTCCTTATTCACATAGATAATTTTTGCACAGCTATTTTCAGTAACCTATGCAAAAACCACCACTTAGAACAGAAGCCACACAGGTAGTCTCCAAGATTGCTTTTCACCCTGAGGGGTAGCTAAGCTTCTTTTAAACAATTTGTTTGAATTCTTATTACCTACTGGAAGCTCTAGCCACAAACATGTTGGGATTCAAACCCATTATCTAAATTGCTTTAAAGGCCTTACTTCTACCCAAGTTGCTAGAGGAAAGAAAAAGCTTCACAAGTATAAAAGACTTAAGTTGAAAGACCAGTTTCCTCTGTTGGTGAAGAAGATTTTATTCTTAACTACTTCATACAATTATTAGAGCTATGAATTCCAAAATAAGTGGCCAGAATTAGCACAGATGAATGTTCCAGATTTTTAGACTAGGAACTCTTGCTACCTTACTGTAACTATTGTAATTAAGTCCTACTAAATATTAACTTCTTAAATACTAGAAAACAATAGCATCAGTGTTGCCAAGGAGGAACAAACCTATAATATTTACCTAAAAGAAATACTACTTCTGTTCTCCCAAATAATTTACGTAACAAAGGCAAATGACTTTTTCTTTTCAAACTTCCATTTTTACAAAGGGAACATTCTAAATTTAGGATCCTGTTCCTTTTGGGTACAATATGGTAATTTTCAGATGTGGCTCCAAAATCAGTCATGGTTCTTCCACCCATTCTAAGCAATTTCCTTCATGAAGAGTTCTCAAAATTCACAAGCTTGCTGCAGTTTTGTAAAACTTTAACTGGTCTGTTCCTTCCAAGAAACAACTTAAGTTTCCAGATATTAAACTGAGGAAGTAATTCAGCCAAAGTTCCAGCAAGCAGCACACATTCCATGGAATAATGCTACTAGCCTCAGTGGACTTTACTTCTGTGTAAGCATAACATGTACCCAGACTATATATCAGCAAAACTTTGAGAAAACATAATGCAGTTATATTAAGTTCTTAATTGTTATACATTAAAGAAGTTTTAACCATTCCATAACTCCCAACTATTTAGAGAGCAAGAATATACAGTTCACTGGTAAAGTGAGACAACAACCCACTTAATATTTAAACCATTCATTAGCATTCTCTTTGACCACATGTGTGGGTTGTACATGTGTGTGCATGCCAGAAGAAGCCCAGATAAATCATTATATCCAGGTGTTACTGGCCTAAGTATCTGCCAAACCCTGCCAGCACACTGAAAAGAGCATCCCTTTTCCGGCATAGATCGCATATAGTGCCTTGCAAACTAAGCATGCTGCCTTAGTTTCTAAGAGCTAGGAAAGATCCTCTTGGAACCAGCCTCAAAAACTTTTAAGCTCTGGTTAAGGAGACAAGTTTATCCTTGTTTCTTGCTGGAATGGATCGAAAGAAGCTGCACAACAGAGCCACTCACAGAGAACTTGGCAAAGGCACTTGAAATTTAAGCAAAGCAAAGGGAAGAAGAGTGAAACCTTAGCCTCGGTCCTTTTGTCAGGAATTCCAATTCAGAGCTCTTTGTGAAGCTGCAATTTCAAGACCATTTGGAAGAGAATTTCAATACCGTGGACCAGAGAGGCAGAAATCCTTGTTCACCGGGCACCTTGAAACAATCAAGAGGGCTGCAATCCGAGCATGTTAAAAAAAAAGAAAAATAAACGAAGGGGGTTGGGTGGGGAAGGGATTGCAGTGCAAGTTGCAAAGAACAAGCAAACGAGAGAGAGAGAGAGACCTCTCAACTGCTGCTCTAATAGGTGTTTAGTTGATTCAATGGACTTTTTGTTGATTTTATATAGGGGCTGATAGCGCTACCCCGTCTCCAACGTTTGGCCGCAGTTAATCCTTCACGCCGCTCGCTGCCTTTTTCTACTGGAGACAGGGAGGAAAAAAAAAAAAGCTCAGGAAATGTCAGAGCCAGACCACAGCTTTCCCTTGAGTGCATTCCCCTCAAGGCTGTTTTCTCCCTTTTAAACCTGACCTCCTTTTCCAAAGAGGCATCGGGCTATCATCCGGAAGGAACAATCTCCCTCCCCTCCTTGGATCCACACAAGGCAGAAGCCCCCACTCCCCCTTTGCGTCCGCCCGTCAGCACAGCGGCTCTTTTTTGCCCCACCCCCCTCCCGCCCCCCTCTGGCCATTAAAGAGATCATATGCGGGGCTTAACAAACGACCCTCTCTCTCCAAGTGTATTTCCACCTCTGGGCAAATCCAGGGATCGACTTCTTCAAGGGCGTCAACTCTTCCCCCCCGAGGATCGCACTTGGCTCTCAGCTTTACACACACACACACAACCAACACAACGCGCACCCGGCGACGAACCACAATGGAGAGCCGCTCCATCCAAATCACGGGATCTTAAGAAAGACAAGATTTATTGCTTTTTTTTTGTTTGTTTTTTGGTCGTCGTCCTCCCCCCTCCCCTCCCCCCCCACGGGTCTCGAGACAATAGAACAGCTGCCGTTTCCCGAAACAAAAAGGAGCCCAACGCTACCTGGAAGGGCTCCCACGCTTGGTTTTTTTTGTGTGTGTGTGTGTGTTTTTTTTTTTTTTGCAAAAGCGACCCGAACAAGAGGAATAGCCGCCGCTTTTCCCAGCAGCGGTGCCCGAATGCAAAACAAAGCGCCGCGAGTCCGGGCGCCCTTCCCGTCTGTTCCCCCACTACTACCCGTCTCTCTCGGCCACCCTCCCTTTCCTTCCCTCCCTCCCTCTCTGGGACTGGGATGGGGGGGAGGGGAAGGGCCATCAAAGGGACGCTGACAAGACACTCCCGGCGAGAGGGCGAAGCGGCCCCGCTTGCCAGAGCCCAGGCGCCTGCCTCCGATTGGGAAGGAGCGGCTTTTACAATTTGCACGCCCCGTCTCCCGACCGGAGAGATCTCCTGGAAAGGCAGGCGGGCGAGCCCCCACCACACCCCACCCCGCTCTTTCTCCTCTCTGTTTCAGCCCAGCCTAGCCCTCCATCTCCCTCCTTGGGAGGAGGGAGGCCAGGTTCAAAGGAGATGGGAGGGTGGGGAGGGGTCTTGCAAAATTCAGAGCCTTTCCCTTCCGCGCCGGGTTCCCGCGAGCAGCCGGAGGCAGAGGCAGCCCTCGAACGACCCCTCTCCCTCTCTCCCCTCCGCCTTTCTCCTTTGCTTCTGGAGGTGAAGGACGAAAAGCCCCATCGTTCCCAGCCGCCGGGGCGAGGCTACTTGCCTCGCCATGCTTCTCCAGCACACGCCTCCCTTGTCGCTCGGGCTGTGCCGCCCGCCCGTCAGTCAGTCAGTCAGTCCGTCCATTCCCGTCCCGCCAGGCGCTGTACCTGCAGAGGAGGATCGAGACGGCGCTGCTCTGGTCGGCGGCGCAACAGCTGAGGGGCCCCTCGGTTCGCGCAGCTCCATACCCTGCCCTGCCCGCCCGTCCGCCTGCCTGCCTTCCCCTCCGGCTTCCAACTGCTCAAACAAATCAAATTGGTCCGGCCTCCCCTCCCTGGCCGCTTTCTCCAGCGGTGATGTCATAGCGCCGGCGGTCCAATGGGAGGAGACTACGTCAGCAGCCTAGCCGAGGCCTCCTCCATTCAAAAGCGGAATTGTCGCTCCGGTCTTTCTCGGGGGTCTCAGAGCCCGAAGGTAGTGGGAGGCAGGCAGGCAGGCAGGCAGGCAGGCAAGACGGGCCTCTCCCCCCCACCCCCGCGCTCCCTATTGGATCTTCCCTGAAATGGAAAAGAGGGGGCGTTGGGGTACCTATTGCACCAAGCCCCCTTTGCAGCGGTGCCGCCTCTGTGCAGTCATAATTTAATGGGCCACGGATTTGAAGGGGGGAAAAAAAAAGGGATTTGTACACCGCTCTAAAGAAGCAAAAAGGAGTCTATGTTCCTTTTGTGTGAGCCCCGTTAGAAATCTGTATGTGGGGGGGAAAAATGTCTTTCCAGCCAAATATTTTAGGCGTTGGACGATATTTAAATTGATTCTAAATTATGAGTATCCTGAGAAAGAACAGCATAGTGATCATATAGAAAATTAAAAGCTAATATGTGGGAATAAAAATATATGGGAATAAAAAATAATTTGCTCTCTAATGCAACTTATTTTTGGCCAGGGAATTGCTGTTGGCTGAGGGAATCTTAAAAGGTAGCCAGGGGATGGTGGTGGTAACAAGCTTGTTTTAAGTTGATTACTTTTTATTTTAAGGTAAGATAAGTTATCTGTCTCCAAATTGGGCCGATTCCTGGTAACATCCTGGCTGTACGGTTTCTTTGGCAGGAATATGAAAGTAGTTCACTATGGCTTTTCTCAGGATGTTTTTGACTTCCAGCCTGATTTATTTAGTAAAAACGTAAAACTGATTGATTCTGTCACAATATCAAAACAATTCAAAAATACAACCCAAAAAATACAACCACAACTTATATAAAGAGCCTTATAACTGAGAAGGATCCTGCACCAGGATTAGCCCAAGGCCTGTAGTATTTAAAATCTCTCTTGAACAAGGTCAGGGTGGGGTAAAATGACTCTCTGGGGAGATGTTCTACAGCTCTGGTGTACCCTGAAGGTTTCCCATCTGAGTACTAACCAGTTTGACTCAGCCTTTCAAGATGATCCCAGTTTAGCCAGGTGCTGTCCCCTGGAGGGGAATTAACATGATTCTCCCTATGTATTTTATCATTGACTACAGGTAGTCTTCAATTTATGATCACAATTGAGCTCACAATTTCTATTGCTAAGCAAGACAGTTGTTAAGGGAGTGTTAACCCATTTTACAAGCTCTCTTGCCACAGTTGGTAAGTGCATCATTGCAAGTTGTTAAGTTAGTAACACGGTTCTTAAATGAATCTGGCTTCCCCATTGATTTTGCTTGTCAGAAAGTTGCAAAAGGTGATCACATAAATATATGTCAGTTGCCAAGTGTCTGAATTTTGATCACATGACTAGGGGGTTGCTGCAACAATCGTAAGTGTGAAAAATAGTCATGTCAGTTTTTCAGACCAAACTAATGATAGTAGGTAGAACAACCAGCTTTAGAACTGACAATGAAAATATAGAAGTGATGGAAAACCTCTGCCTTTAGAATCGACCATCAACTGTAAAGGAAAAAGCAGACAAGAAATGCGTTGCAAATTAGCACTCAGTACAGCAGCCAGGAAAGATTTGGAAAAGATACTCAAATGCCACGAAACGTCTATACCCACAAAGATCAGAATCATGCAAGCCATGGTATTCCTTGTGGCACTGTATGGAAGCCAAAGTGGAACTTAAAGAAGTAGGCCAGAAAGAGTATTGATGCTTTTGAAGTTTGGTATTGTAAATACTCCTAAGAAAATTTAATAGACAGCCAAGGAAAATATACAGATGGACCATTGAACAAATCAAGCCATGGTTCTCATTTGAAGCAGAAATGACCAAGTTCGAATTACCCTACTTTGGGCACATTATGGAAAACCTAACTCTCTGGAAAAAGGGAATTCTGGGAAAGATGGAAGGAAAGAGGGGAAGAGGATGACCAGAAGCAAGGTAGATAGACTCAGTTAAGAGGTGATGAGTGCACTCTTGAGAGATATGAATGGCCAGGTTAGAGACAGATTGTCCTAGAGAAAATCTGTGTAGTCACTAGGAGTTGAAAGTAACTGGATAGGACATAATCAGTCATGTATTTTACCATTTCCCTTTTCAGATACATGATTTCATTACAACTTTTGCAGAAGGGACTTAGAACCTTCACTTCATACGTCAGGTATCTTTTGCATAAATAATTCATGTCTTTCACTGTTTTCTCACAACATGTTTAACATGCTTTGCTTATCCATGGTTTACTAGCTGAATTTGCATGACATGCTAGACATAAATCCTGGTTAACAAGCCTTCACTAGCTGGGTGCATATGACCCACTTCTGTATTTCACATACCAAAGTCCAGCAGAATGACTGATGTATTGTACTTGGTGACAATATGGGAGTTTATTGGGGCAAGTTCAGAACAAGCTGTGCCACGCATACACTCACACCCTTGTCCTTCAACCTGTGGCTGATCTTCCCACCTTTTCTAATCTTTTGCCAAACTTATCTCACCCTGCTAATTGGTAGGATCACCTCTGCTATAATTCTCACTGATAATATGTCTCTGAGTCTGAACAAATCAAGATAGTTTCCCTGTTTAATGCATGGAATAGAATGCCATGTCAAATGTTTTGACATATTTTTCATTTTGGGATGGAAGTCTGCAATCTGTAAATCATATCTTGGTTAGAATTCTTGGTCATGTCAGCAATGCTTTTATTTGGACTAAGCCTCTCTTCAAATTATATGACTGTATAGATTTCATCACAGATATACAAACCACAGTCTGATTTCTGGGTTTTGAATTTTTCCCTTACCAGCCTTATATAAATGCTGAATCAGAGAACAAGTAGTATTCAGAGACAAGAGTTTCTTCTTCTTCCTTAGATAATTTTTTCCCTTTGATCGAACATTCAGGTTGTGGAGTTTTGCCAGAAATATTCTATAATCTTCCATCTCTGCTTGGACAGCAGCCCAGTGTGATACCAAAAAGGGAATTCTGCTCTGATGAAGGAGGCTTTTAATGGTCCCATCTGTATTTCCAACTGGGCAAAATGGTGCTGTCTGTATTTAATACTAAGACTGATTCCAGAGGAACATCTCAGACAATTGATGTATCTGGAAATGAGAATTCTGCCAATTGGCAGAAGCTTAAGTGGGATGACCTGAAGTTAGTTAGTTAGTTATGGAAGTAGAGGAATTGCAGTAATCAGGATCAAAGTCCTTCTGAGCCAGTATTCCTTTATATGGAAATCTTGCTAGTCAAGTAAGAATGGGATAACCCCTGATTTATCCCTAAGCTCTGATGTTCAAAACCCTCTTGCCAGTGAAACTGGAATTTCCCTTGTCTGCCCCAGTGTTGATCTTCAGTATCTGGCTTACATCTACTACTACACCTGCCATCAAACTAACATAAATATGATTGATTTTTTTAAAAAAAGAAATTTAATGAGAGGCCAGCATGCGGCCAGCAATGCTAACTTCTAGGATCATCTTTATATCAAAAATGCCTCTTGAAAATAAAACTGGAGGGTGGGTGCAGTTGTATGCTTTGGCTGGAATCAAAACGCCTTGACAATTGGTATGTGTACACATAACCCACATACACATGGACCAAGTGCAGTGGGAGGGGTAATGAGTATACTCTAGGGTTAGCAGCAGTTGAGGGAATCATGTCCACCAGTTTTCCTTCTAGCAAATGGATGTGAATAGCAGCCAGTTTGCAAAAGGCCCCACAATTTGTTCTTAAAATGCCATTTGATGTTTCCATCAATAAAGATGGAAAAGACTCAGAATCCTACGTCATATAATCTGTCTATCATATGCGAGTCAATTCTATAAATTTATTGCAAGTTGAGTGAAAAAGGTGGTCAGGGTAGCATATGTCCACATACTAAGCTGGAGATAATTCTGTTGAAACTAACAACAGTTCTACCTATTCAAAACCAAACAATCAAACAAAATCATGCTACTAGCCATAAATGGAAACAATTATGTAGCACTGGTCCTTAGAGTAGACTTTTGGTCAAGATTCTCCAGTTGGGTCTTATGTTAATTATATCTCCATTCAAATGTAGAAGCACTACTTATCTGATGAGCTCACAATCAAGTATAAGTTTAATATTCTCTCAGGTTTTCCTATGGAAATTTTTTTAATATCAGCAAAGGTTTCATAATGGACTGAGCAGAACTGGCCTGCTTTTTGATCCTTATTTTATTCATGAAAATGATAGGATTAAACAGTATGCCAGCCATTCTGCTACATTCTAAATAATAGAATGTAAAAAGAAATCTTAAATCTTAAAGACTATCCAGTCCAACGCTCCTGCCCATTGCTGGGTGCAATTCTTCTGGTTTACCATGCAATGCACCATTCCCTCTTTGTTCTTCTCTGATGAGCGGAAGGCTTGATATACAACTTCAATCAACTCCTATCTGGAAGAGCTGCCATTTGTTAAGCCACCATAGAAAATGCAAACCTGCATGAATTGTAAAAGAGCAGAGGTTACACTCAGTCTCCTGGGCTAGAATGATGGAGAAATGGTAAGTGTTAGGGTAAACTTTCAGGGCTTTTTGGACCTGGCAGAATAAATCTGCAATAAAATTGAAAAAGTGCCTCCTGGATAGGAACCTATCTTAATCCTCAATCACTTGGATGTGGCAGGGAAATTAGGCACAGGCTAATCACTATTCTGTGAGGACAGGAGCCTATTTAAAGATCCTTCAGATCAGTTCCTTTTGCAGGCAAAGGAGAGCTCTGAAAATACTTCAGATACCTTGGTTCAAATTAGGCTTCTCAAGGCCAGTGGAAAAACACTGGGGTAGGAAATCATTAACCTTGTCTTGAAGAAGGATAAGGATCAGACCTTTGGCTTTCTCAGAATAGGAATAGAGCCTGTGGAACTTGTTCAGTGCCCAATGAACTTGTTGCTTTGTAGGCCACAGACACACTAATAAGCATGAGTTGTTGTTCCTTACTTTGTCAACTCTAAACACTCTCAAGAAGTGGGGAAACAAACAGCATTTTGTTTTAACTGTCTTATATGGGCTTTAAGCCACCTCGAGTAGCCTCACTGTAAACTAAATTTAAGGAACAATAATAAGTAGCATTAATGAATTTCTGTTAGAATATTCATGACTGGGAAGACATGGTAGCAAGGTCAACCAATGAATAGGCATAGCAACTAAGTCAGCCAATGGGAGCTGAAACAGAACTGAATCTGTGCAGAGAAACGAAACTGAAAGTAGTCTGTGCATGCTGTCTGCTCTGCTGAAAATGAAATTAACTGTTCTCTCCTGCCTTGTGTTTTGCTTGTAACTGCTGGAAGAATTTTCTATATTGGTATTGTGCATTTATCTTCATGTATTATTATGTATATAAAGAAGTTAATGAATCCAGCTGAATCAATTATCTGTGTGTGCTTCTGGATTTGATTTTTGCAAGAAACATTTACAATTTCAAGGTGGTACTTTTCTTTTTAATCACAGTGTCCTGATTTGAAATCAATTGAGTTATGACAAAAAGGATTATTTACATGGAAGCTGTATGTCAGGGATTTAAAATGAATTCAAATAATTTGGAATAAATGAACACAAATGTTCTTCAGAAGTGATTTGTCATTGCCTCCTTCCTAGGGATGAGAGAGAGTGACTGGCCCAAGGTCACACAGCTGGCTTTGGGCCTAAGGCAGGACTAGAAGTCCTACTCTCCCAGTTTTACAACCTGATGCCTTAACAACTATCTGAAACTGGCTGTCACACCCCACAGATATTCCTGGGTAAAAAACTGCAAAAATGACCTTGGAGAAGGCATGCAACAGCCTTTAGCGAAAACATGAATTAAGCCTGAAAAGAGAAAAAGACATTAGAAAGAAATTTAAAGTGACCTCTAATATGAGAAAGGGAAACACTGTCAGGCTTACAAAATTCTGTTCCTACAGCCAAGATCAATAAAGTGGATTTTCAGAACTACTTCTGCCCTGCCCTGAGGAGCTAAGCTCTGCTAGAGAGCATGACCAGTCTTCTAGTCCAAACACAGGAAATTTGGGTTGCTTAATAACTGGAAAATGTTATTAACATTTTCCAAACAAAGGAACATGGTTGTCATGTGGTATCGCATCCATTTTCATTAGTTTGGACCAAAGGGGATTTTAAATTAGGTACTTGGGACCTGGACCATATGCATTCCAGATTACACAACAGTCCGTTTAAGGGTAATTCATTCCTTCATTGCTCTGCAAGGTATACGGCAGCTCGATACTTTTTAATCATTCACTTTGCTTTTCTGGATGGTTATTTGCTCTTGAACTTTGGATGGTTTAAGACACTGCATTCAAATGCCCTAGATAAAACCCTAGATATTTCCCACCTCCACTTCTTTCTTTAGAACTTGCTAATGCCTTCACAAGCACAGCCATCACCTGGGGTGTTGCAGCCATTCCGAGGACACATTAAATTATCTTCCAGTTTGAGGATGGCGTTTTCTTTTGGCAAAGAAGATGATGATGATGTAGCATTGTGATGGGAAGGACTCTAGTGCAGATGAAGGGAGCTTTCCGGCTGGTCAGATCGGATTCAGTCTGGGGGAATGTGATGTGAAAGTCACTTGCCACAGGAAAAGTTTAACTGTAGCATCAGGGGACTGACTGACAATTACTTTTTTCTCTCTTCCCTCCCACAAATGAGACCCATTAGAGAAATGTATTCTTCCCATCTCATTAACAGATTTCTGAAATCGAATGGCTTCCAACAGACAAACAAGAATGTTCTCCTTATTATCTTCCTCACTGATCAGACAATGTGCTCTTCAGAACATGTTGAATAAACTCAATTTTCCTACAATGTAATTTCACATGCTGTTCAGGACAGCACCAGAGTCTAAAAAGGCTGTTAATAGGGAAGTCATTTCCACCTAGTTTGCAATGCTGAATCCTCAAATGAACTTGGTGGAATGCTTGAGTTTATTCTAGTAATTATCCTAAGAGGGAAGTTAGTTCAGGGATGCTGACTTGGTTCACACACCTAGGATGTTATGCAGTTGAGAAAAAGGCAGTGGGGAAGGTTGCCTGAAGTCAACCATTGTAGTTTGCAAAAGAAGCTTTTGACTGAGCAAATCTATTGGGGTTTACTTACAATTGGTTAAATTGTGATTTGCTCAAGGTAGCCAGTGCCTAGTCATAATTTTAAACAAGTTGTTTAAAATTGTTGTTAATTTGTTAAACTTGTTGACTAATTTAAAATTGGCAGTATTTATACATTCAACCATAAATCATGGTTTTACATGTCCTGCTAAACTACTGTACATCTACAAATCCAAGTGACAGCAAAGAGATACAGAAAACTTTGTTTCTATCTAGCAGTTGCTTGGTTCTTTACAGAACAGACTTTGTAGCCCTGAGCTAAGCTGAAATAAACTTAACATAACATAGCTATTTGTTCAAGTGGGACATCATGCACAATGTGGAAACATTGTTTTTTATTATCTTAGAGTCAGGCATTCTAATTCATTGGTTGGCTGAATAAAGAATGAGATGGTGATTAATATGTAATTATGTTTTCTTACTGATTGGCCTTTTTAAAAAAACTCCCCCAGATGTTTTAAGTGATCAGCTAGTTATACAAAAAGGGAGGGAGGGAGAGAGAGAGGGAGAGAGATGAAAATAGTATAGTATATGTTGGTCAATTAACTATTGCCAAGGTTGGCTGCTATTCCAGTCACATGGATAATTGAAACCAAATTGGGCCATCCAAATTTAGTATATAGTATGTATTACATAGTATGTATGTGGTATAAGATATATAGTATAATAGTATACATCGATCAATTAACTATTGCAGAGTTGGTTGCTGTTCTAGCCAGATGGATAGTTAGCATTCTGAAGGTAGCATCAAAGTGATGGGTAACTGACCTTGCTATTGTTTTACAGATTTAGCTTAATTGGCTATAGTCCAACAATTTCCTAATCCAACACTATAGATACCATAGTAACATTACACAGCACTTGAGAATTCTGCAACAGCAGAAATCCAATTCCAGGCTTTATTATTTATTTGTATCCCATCTGTTGTTATTTTTACAAATAACTCAGAGCAATTAACCTATCCAACAGATCTTCCTCCTGCTATTTTCTCCACAACCACCCTATGAGGCTGGCCAGACTGCGAGAGAGCGACTGGCCCAAAGTCAACTCTCTCATTGCAGGAGTGCTTCTGCTCCTCAGGATTCTTGAACAGCTCCTAGAATATTGCTTCAATGTTTTTGTAGGAAAGTTAGAAATAAATGCAATGGGTAAAAATCCTTGGGGGCACTTCCAGTTTTCTCTTTTCCATTCAAACTACAAGGTTTATCACTTTTGTTCCAACAAACAGCTTTTTGTGTTGTAATAGAGAAGTTTCTATTTAAATAATTTTTGTTTTATTTTAGAATAAAGAAACATCAGTTGCTTTTTATGGTTTTTTCCCCCCATTCCAGTGACTGTGGGGGAGTTTTAGACTATTATAACTAAAAGAGATAGTTTGGTCTAGAGGTGAAGGCACCAGGCCTTCCACCTCTAGTAGGTGAAAGGGAGACTGTAAGTTCAAATCTCCTCTTAGCCATGGAAGCCAGCTGGGTGACTTTGGGCCAGTCTTTCTCTCTCACTTCCCAGGGTGGTTGTTGTAGGGAAAATAGGAGTAGGAAGGTATTTGGATATGTTTGCCACCTTGACCCAAAGGTTCTTTTTCAAAAAGCCACTGGACTTTCTGGTTTTTCTTTGAAGACATTTCACTTCTCATCCAAGAAGCTCCTTCAACTCTGACGGGATGGTGGGGAATGGATGGATTTATAGTCCCTGAGTGATGCAAATCAGCTGATCCTGATGACACAGATAAATCTCCAGGTGACCTTAACAACTCACTAAAAGAATGCAAACGACCATCTGCAAGGAGTATAAATCCTTCCATTCCCCACCATCCTGTCAGAGTTGAAGAAGCTTTTTGGATGAGAAGTGAAATGTCTTCAAAGAATAACCAGAACGTCCAGTTGCCTCTTGAAAAATGCACCTTTGAGATAACTATGACCTGGGTGACTGAGAATCTCTATAGACATTTGCCACTTTGAGTTATTTGTGAAAATAATAAAGATGGGATATAAATAAATGAATAAAGGAAATAAATTAATTGCTCAGTTAGGATAGGAGATAATCTTAAAGGATTATCATTTTTCTAAAATGATTAATAATTTTTAAAGCATTTTTTAGCATTGTACTGTATATTTTTCCTTTGTCTGAACCTTGCATTACACATTTATGGTAAGGAATCAAGAACTTTTACACTTGGCTGTTTTCTCATAACCTGTACTAAGCCAACTGCTTGTAAACTATGGTTCATGGCATGGGTGGATAATCGTTCTGTTACCAGAGGAATCAATGTTGCTATTGCCATTGTTATTGCCATTATTTTTGCTATGCTTATTACTATTCCTGTGGCATCTACTGAGGGCCACCCAGAGTGGGAGTGTGCTGTTGGGTGTGTAGGTGTGTCAGGAGCAGGCGTTTCCTTCTCATTTTAGTTCTTGTGAGATGAGGATTAAATGTTTTGAATGGGTAAGTGTATCCAAAATTTAAATCATAAGACTTTTTTCATTCAGTCATTGCAAATCAGTAGAAAAGTTTGCCACCTTCGTTTGGAGTAACAAGACACAGGAGGGAGTATAGAAAAGGTTGCAAAGATTGCTCCAGATCTATTTCCTTTAAAAATAGCTAGCAAACTTCTTGTACAAAGGTTTATTCTTTTAGACTACTCTTTCATTCATCTGATCTATTGCTTGAGCCTATAGGGATTGGTGTAGTCCCGTGTGTCTGGCTTCAATTCAGATGCACTGAAACTGCGTACCCGCATCCCACAGGCATCTGCAGGCATCTTAAGGATGGCAATTGAATGTTCCACATTTACATATAAAGTGTTAAAAACTTTACTGATTGAAACAGTGCTAATTTCCCCCTGCTGGACTGCAGTAACTTTCAGAAGAGCTCACTAGATTTTGTGGCTTGGTTCCGTCATTATTCATCCTGGAGAAGGCCTATCTACGGAGTCACTGGGGGTTGACATTGACTTGACAGCACATTGTCATTTGCCACCCTCTTGCATAAGCCACAGGAGCTGAATATACAGATAGCCTCCAGATGAAAGCAAACAATTACATGTTGGCCTCCTGCACTGATGCAAAACATAGGAGAAGCTATTTGCTACCTCCTTCCAATGCCTGACAAAGTGGCATTGTTGGTTAGTGGCTGTCTTTGACCTTGGGAAATATGCAAATCACAAAGCAAAACCCAGCAGGCCTGTCAAGGTTGATTAACCCCCAGCAGGCTGATCCTCAAAGACAACTGACTCATCCAGCTTCCCTCTGTAAGCCTCTGCAGCTGATCACCTCCCAAAAGCATTGATCACATAGCTGTGGGAAATAGAGATGTAAACAGAGATACTCCCCTCACCACTTATTTTCCCCATCATAGAACCCCACACCACCAATCAAAAGACATGCCAGCCATCTTTTGAATGACCTAATTGATCTTCTTCATTTGGACTCACCCCCAGTAATCTTGATTTCCTTAGCCAGCATCTTAGTTGTCCTTAAATGTTTGCTTACATTTTCAGTGCTGCAAACATGGAAGATTTTCCCATCCTGACACAGATGTGTGAAGAAACTGACGGGTGGGACACATGTGGGGTTTATCTGGGGTTCCAGATTCAATAATCTCACACCAGCAAATATTGAGGGGTTTCAGATATTAGTTTGGGGGTGGGGTGGGGGAATAGTAAAATAGAATATCTGAATTACTGGGGGTCACATATTTTACGCTTTTGGGGATAGGCTATTAGTTACATTATAACATTTCTCACCACTGTCATGCTTCCTAGGAAGAGTTCAACAAAATCCACTTTTCTTCTTTATTAGATATAAATAACAACTTACTTATACCTAAATAATCAGGAATAAATTAACTAATTTACCATGCTTCATCTTAATGTGTTGAACAAACTGGAGATTCTCCATCTGTAGTTCTGAATGTGGTTATAGTTTCCCAGATGCAACTGGAGGGCAATTTGAGGGTTCTCCTGGACTTGAGGTTGCATCCTTCCACAGACCATATCACTTTACATGTGGACTACTGCAATGCATTGTATATGGGACTGCCCTGGAAACTACAACTGGTCCAGAACACAGTGGCACAAACAGCTATGTGTGGCTTGGTATGCCCAGGTAACACCTCTGCTACAAAAGTTGTATTGATTACCAATGAGCTTCTGAGTGCAATTCAAATTTCTGGATGTCAGCTACAAAGCCCTTTGTTGCATAGGACCTGTTTATTTGAGGGACTGTATTTTTCCTTTAATTTCTGCCCATTCTGTAAGATATTTTTTCTTTCTTTTTTTTTTTAATTAGAAAAAAAAAGCAGCCAAAGACAGGCTAGGAAATATTTTCTCTGTTGAAGTGGTTGTCCTCTGGAGTAGCATTTCCTCCATCAATTCAAACAGCCCCAACCCTGTTGTCCTAAAACAGCTTTGAAGAGCTGTCTTTCCCCCCAGACTC